ATATCCCTTAGTTGGCCCACACTGAGGTCCAATCTGGGATCTCCTGGTTAGTGGCTCCTACTTACCCTTCGTGGCTCCCATTTAACCTTCGTCGATCCCAAAGTAATAGCTCTACGAAAGATATATTCAGTGTCTAAAGTCAAAGTCTCTCAGGGTCCTGACAAAAATCGTTAAAATTCCTTTACTATTTTAATGCCTTCAATGATTAAAATATATTTATTTCAGATTTATGGCAACCGACTACTACTACTATCACTACAACTGTTAAAACTACAACACCAACTACAACTAAATCACAAACAACTACCACTGCTATGGCAACACATATATCAACAACAGGAGAAGAAGGAGTAGATTACACACTGACTACCCCTGATGAGTCTTACGTCATTGATTCTTCTAATATGTCAGTTATATCTAATTCAAGTCAACCCGTGCCTGATAGCGAAATAATCAACAACAAACATACAGGTATGACTTTTAAAGCACCCACGTACTACTATGATCCCCTTCGTCAGTTATTGAGGGGACACTTTCTGCTGGCCCTGTCTCATTCGACACAATACATCCGGCACTGGGGAATAAAATTTGGCGCCATCCTTTCCAAAGCACATCGCGGTTTCAATATTCTAGGTGCAACTTTATTGCTGACGGCCAATGGTTCTAGGTTTGCTATCATAGTCACTCAATCTTTAACATCTTTTTTTATTTAGATCCAGATCGAGAAAAGGCAGAAGGTACAGAGAGTAAAACAGGCAAGTTATTCAACCTCTCTACACACAATGAACAGAGTAACTGTTTCCCGAGATCGAGTTTTACTAGATCTTAAATATACTTCTTGGATTCGCTTAAAATATTTCAAATCTTGTTGACTTCAAAATGCAATTGTTGTTATGTTCCTGTGAAAAGGACAAAAAAGAGACCGAGATTGGGTTTTCTTCTTGTGCATTGTTGTCTGTATATTCTATAATACAAATACTAATTTAACAAACTATACGTTTTGCATTATTATGCTGTTCTTGTAGGACTAGTAGTTGGTTTAACCTGTGTAGCGGTGGTAATAGTTATAATTGTTATCGGAGGAATTATCATCTTTCACAGGTAATTATAATAGCTTCAATTATTTGACTCCTAGAACATATTTGTTACCGGCAGAAATTATCACCATTCTCAGTTAATTATACTCGGCTTCAATTTTGGCCACCAGAGCATTCTTATGGTCAATCTACGATGGATCATTCACGTTCAAAGTTTGGGGGTTTAGATCATATGTCTTTAATATCAAGACATTCTGTGTTAATGGATATTAGGAAGCTCGTCACGTATATGCAGAAATCTGAAAGATAGCGGGGCACACAATTGTTTAAACTGATATTAAAGTGGTTTATAGAGTCAGTTATTGAGCGTGTCTTGCAAAAATAAACTACATGTAATTGGTTTTGACCGGCCGAGGGGGTGAAACAAGGGCCAATGACGCTCCCTTTTCTCATCAAGAATTACATATAACAATCCCGTCCAAAAGTCCTTATTATATGTAATCAAATTGACGCTTATGACAGGCGTTATAACTTTAGGTAAAATATCAATGATAACAATTTAATTGGTGAGTGTGTTTTAAATATAAAGCAAAGCAACAATATTAAACATACATTATGCAAGGGCTAAATCTGTCTATTGCAGGTCTTTCTTTAGGCCTGACATTTTATCTAAACCATTAATTTGACATTAATTAACCTATCCAGACCATAATCAACTCTGATCTTTAGTGGATTATGTGCCGATTTACTGCATAACTTTCCTTCACGATTTAACGATTAAATGGATAATCAAGACTATGTTGTTTATCGTACTAACTTTAGTAATGATGATCGAGGCTAGATGAAAATTTCAATTGCTTAGTTCTCGGTTCATAGTGGACCAATTTGAATGAAATTTTCAGCAAATTGTCTTTACATTATCTAGTTTTTAACTATTATAGCGAGAACTGCCAAGTCGTTATCAAATCTCCCATAATGTATCTTTAATGTACGGTATTCGATAGCAGAGCATAGGCGACATACCAATCGTCGTTAAAGACCTTGGGACAGAATTCGGGATATCAGCTTATCTAACAATTTCTTTATAAGGTTGGTATATCATAGACAGAGTGGAACGAAATAAGCGATGTTATACATTTTGGCAACACACGTATTAGGTTATTTGGGGACAAACTAGACATACTACGCCATTCTCAAATAATTGAAAGTGGTTTCTCTCATTGTTATTGTCAGAAAAAGGATGCGAAAGTATTTTAACGATGTGTTTAATGTTTCAGGGTTCGAGCTAACGACAAGGTTGTTCTTGATGACGTTGTGGCATTTGATAATTCGGAATATATTACACCTACCGAAGAAATGGCGATAAACCCGGACTACTTTTCACAACATGAACAAGATCCTATTCATATATATCAACTACCCGATGACTCAGAAAATCAATCCACAGAAAAACATAATTCTGGTTCTCAACCATAACTTTAGAACATAAAGAATTATAGGACAGCATCTTCCACACCATTGTAATATCCATTATACCGTCTTATCAATTTAATAAACTGCCATATTTTGTAAAAAGAATGAATTATATTATCATTCCAAAAATGAAGAAAACCAGACTACTTTGGTCATTGTTCTGTAGAAGTTGTTCAGATTACATACTGTTTACGATGGGGACGTTCGGACAGACCAACGACTGACACAACTGTTCCATCGGTTAAATCAATCACCATGCCCGCCTTCTACATTCATAATAATTAGATATAATAAATTTCACATTCAAAGTGACCATTCCGAAATGACCCACCGTTACAGGATAGTAACAAGAAACAATGTTGGCTCGCTAACCGGGATTTTTTTCTGTTGTGGTTTCACCTGTTCAGTTCTGCAGGACAGGCAGTATAGTCGTTCGGATGGGGGGGGGGGGGGGAACGAGGCCCCGTGTACAGATATGAGAATATACTTTCATAGTATTTTTGCCAGACTTTTGATTTCATAAAAGTACCCTAACACGCGATAGATAGTGCCCTCGGTTGGTTATTTAAAATGAATTTTTTTTTTTTAAAATTCAAACATGATAATGATATGATTTAATAAACTCATATTATTTTTGTTCGGGATTTTCAACAAATAAAACATGAAAATGGTATGATTTAATAAATTCTATAATTTTATTTATTCATTTTCAATTAAACAGTCATAAATTCATACACACAAAGTTTAATAACAAACACTCTACAAATCACATAGTCTAAATATTATGATAATTTACTTGCTGTAATAATGGCGGAAACCGTTCAATTCCTTTAAGTTTCACCATACATCCAGAAACTGTTTAAGTCTTTGCAGGCGATACATTTAGACAGGCATGAGTGTAATCCCATACGAAGGACTAAAATATGATTCGGTTATCAGCCTCCACGGCATCCTGACAAGGAGAAACCGAGAGGATTTAAATCTAGTGCATTTCATTCCAATGTTTTAACAACAGGGTCGGTGACCCTTGAACATAATGGCAGTACTATGAATATAAAATGTGGGTATTATCCCCTGCCTAACTAAACCATTACAAATCTATGTACAACCTCAATTAGGAAACAGAGAAGAAAGAATAATTTATGACCAACGGCTTCACACAAATATATACAAATACATGCATCTATTGGCATTCACAAACATAGCAACTATCATTTTCGAACCCATCTGTTCCCTATCCTAGTTGAGAATGATGTATGAATATGTCCACAGTCCTAAAGTGACTGTTAATGACGTTCTAGCACAGCATCACAACAAGAAAGGACCCAACTAAAAACTTAAAACTATGGATACGAGAATAAGTATATATACACACATTTCAATTTGTACATAAAATGCAATAATAGTATTGCTGCTGCTACCATAATAAATGATCAAATAATTTGATTCTAAAATTAAAGTACCATCAAAGGAGGATCAGTCAAAGTACAAGAATTATTTTAATTCCAAATTTCAAAACTCTCAAGGGTTACATCAGAAATATCCATCTTAGCGAATAATACCGGTATATGATTCCTTTCATCCACATAAATAATAGCAGCATATATAATGACTCACAGTCTCACGCTCTGCTTAATATCGGTATATAATCCCTCAATCAACACTCAGTCTAATAATACCGGTATATAATTCCTCTCATTCAGATGCTTAATCTCTGTTCAACCATAGCCTCACGCACCAGTATATAATCACTGCTTACTACCAGTTCACTCAAAGCCTCACGTACCAGTATACAATCACTAATTAACAGTTTCACTAATTGCTTAATACCAGTTCACTCACAGTCTCACGCACCAGTATACAATCACTAATTAACAGTCTCACGCACTGCTTAATACCAGTTCTCTCAGTCACAAGTGAGAGAGAGAGCGAGAAATGGGGTTTAACGTCAACTCGACACAAACTAATCATTTGGGGACTAACATATGGTTAATACCAGTTTATAATTTATCTCGCACATTCTAATGATGCACCTATATTATCACTCACACCCAGCCTAATAATACCATCACTTAATACCGCACACCCAGTCTAATAATACCAGTATATAATACCTCACATCCAGTCTAATAATACCGTTATATAATAGCTCAAACCAAGTCTAATAATACCAGTATTGTAATCACCCACAAACGGTCCAATAATACCAGTATACAATCAATCACACCCAGTCTAATAATACAGCAGCACATAATACCCCCCATCCAGTCTAATACCTCACATCCAGTCTAATACCTCACATCCAGTCTAATAATAAATCACACCCAGTCTAACAATTTATCTTGCACATTCTAATGTAACACCTATATTATCTCTAACACCGAGCCCAATAATACCATCACTTAATACCGCACACCCAGTCTAATAATACCGGTATATAATACCTCACATTCAGTCTAATAATACCGGTATATAATACCTCACATCCAGTCTGATAATAACAGTATATAATACCTCTCACCAAGTCTAGTAAATCCTCTTGTCTTACCATTATATAACATATTCCATCCTAAAAGCATTCTCGAATTTAAAGATACGTTCTGGGTGATTTGGACTAAAAATGTTTAACTCTTGATCAAGTTTACCAACATATACATCAAGTGCTCAATCTTCCCGTGCAACTTTCGATGGCATGCGAGCAGACATTTTTGGCCTGTATGCGCTCCATTGGTGTTTTTCAGGGAATCCAGTATTTTTCTAGTAAGATTGGATATTTCTACTTTCCATATATACCAAAATTGCTATACTTTTATTGGAAATAACCACCCGATAAATACTTTTCTGGGAAAGTATCTTTAACGTTTCCAAGTAAGAAGGGGGAAATAACCCTTTATTTAAATTTTCAATCCTCCATTGACAGATGTTATCTTATAATATGAATTATCTGTTTAAAATATAATCTCCCTGATTCAATTTAAAAATAATTCTACAAAAATATCATCCATAATAATATGAAAAATCTAGATAAATTACACATATTTACATACATAAAAATCAAACCATGACCGACCATTACAACAAAAACAGTAAATATCTTAATACTTGGATGACAAACTTTATGACGAAAATTGACTAATGTTAGCTACTCTGCCACTAATACCCTACCGCTATGAGATACTGATTTTTTTTTTTTGAAAATCAAATTATGATGGTAAAGTAAATATATATATTACAAAATAATATAATAATAAATTATGATACATATCATAAAAAAAAAGTATGAATAAATTAAAATTACATTTTTCTTAATTCTATTAAAGCAACATTTGAACATACAATATATGGTGATAGTTAAATATAATAATAAATCACAGGCACTCATGAGATTGCTTATTGAATTTGTCTGATTCTATATGGTGCAAACTCTTTCTAATTTGTGCATAATATAACAATACGAAACAAATCTTTGGTAGACATAGTGACGAATGCCCATAGGGCACAAAAAGTCAGAGGACTGTCAATATGAGAATGAAAGCCTGTTGACTGCTAATTGTGCTACAAAATGACTGTTAAAAATATGAATGACTAAATGATAAATGATAAATTCATGAACCAATGTGGAGTATTGCACCCTGAAAAATTTGAACTTCCACCTTTGGAACAATTGTGTTGTTCAGCACTTATCCCTGCAATAATTTTCTAACATACAAATTTTTAGGTATTACTAGATTTGTCGTCCATTGGGCCATATACAGAGTTTTGATAGTAATTAGTACTGATGTAAATTTACTAAAAATAGACTTTCCAGTTACGAACCCCTGCATCAATGTTCTTTAAATATATTTCAATGGAGGTAACATTTGTGAACTTAGCTATTACATTTGTGAACTTAGCTATTACATTTGTGAACTTAGCTATTAAACACAGTTTTCACAAGACAAATTATTTTTGATATATCTTTGCACTAAACAGCTGTCATATTGGCCCGTCTTCATTAGCCCAGTTTAGGAGCTGAACAGTAGGACGTTAAACCCCATTTCATTTCTGTCATGTTGGACAATATTCTTTCAGAGGCATACATTTGAAATAACAAAATCAATCAAATTTATTTCAAAAGAGATAAATTCTTGTTAGGCACATGTAACAAGTTGTAAACCAAGTAATAATGTCACACGATGTATAGCTGCACCCAAAATAAAGGTAGTTTAACATTTTTATCACATCAAAAAAAAATATTGTATATGAAATGAGTTAAAGAGAACTATTCATTTGATACCATAAATAGGTGGCAGTGAGACAATCAATAAATATAGATTTTTTCAAATTTCTATGATCTTAAATTTATAAAATACACTCTAAATTTTGATTTGTAAAATCAAATTTCAGTGCCATTAAACCCTGTGATAATGTTGAGTTATACAAATTTATGTACATTTAGAAATCTTTATACAATGTAATTCAAATGCTCATAAAATATAACAATATAAATCTACTTAGATATACATGTACATTAATAAAGTCAATCATGAACACAACAGCTTTGTTTTAAAGCCACTGGGTTCCAAGACTACAATTATATTACATAAACAACTTCTCACAAAATATCTTAAGTCAAAACGAATTTTAAAATTTACCAAATGAGACAAGCAACCAAGTATTATTAACACATGACACAATTATATGAAATACAAGTTACTCGAAAGATTTATTTCTGGCGACTTTTCCACGAAGGTTCTCTCGCTTTATCAAGCAAGTATTATTAATTTTTCTAAACTTCAAAATGGTTTGGCCATACTAATAATCTACTATGAGTAAATCAGACCACGGAAACATGCATTACTACTATGTATGTGTAATGGTAGGTCCATACACCTATGTGGAGAATATTATAATATTCTAAGAAGGTTTTTTGTTTGTTTGCTCCATACAAGAAACTGGCCAACCACTACTAACTCTTAATTTCAATATTTCTCGTCTTATTATTTAACTTGTTATACATCTCCCGGGCTTTATCCCAAAATACCAAACTTAATACAGTATGGGGACCTAATCTAAAATATGATGCTCCCCATCCCTTATAAAATCCCCACAGTCCTTCTTTCTTAAATATCTTAATAAAACAATCAAGTACGTTTTTATAAAGTAGACCTTTTCCTGCAGCATCGATACCCTGGTTATACAGTCGTGTTGAAACAACATCAAAAGGTGTCATAAATAATGTGACAGCCACACCACTACCCATACTAGCTATGAACGCTATTAATAAACTATCTTTCTTAAACATCTGAAATTAAAGATACAGATATTTAGATACAGAGAATATAAAATGTATTCTGATATTGGATATGTTATTCCTGTTTTAAGAAACCATTGGAACATGTTGAAACCATTGCCATCTTTAGTATACTATTCCAGTGTCATCTAGACTGATAATTAACACAGGTCTGACCGAAATAAAAGGAATAATTTCCTCTTCAGTCCCATTTGAAAAAACCTTAAGTTTATTCTTGGTGTATGCTATGTATTGACCATAGAAAGCCTATTGAAGTTTCTTATCTGTTTAAGCTATAAAGAAATTAAGAGATAATCTTGTTGCGAGTCTGCTCTAAATGAGGACTGTAGATTAAAGAAAGAATGTATAACTTACCTGTGTATCTATTAGGAATTGTTTTGTGGTAGAGAAGGTAGCAAGTTGTGCACCAGATCCAACAGTAACACGTGGTATAGCAGCACTTACACCTCTCCATAATCCTAATATACCAAACTCTGAATAAATTTTCCTTAATCCCTGGGTCATACTCTCATGTAGGTGCTGATGTCCCACTGCTATACTTTGTGCTGCCTGCGACTGTAACTGAGTTTTAACCTGAAAATAGCAAAACAACAAAACATAATTATGTAACATGCAGGGTTCCCCATCAAGTGTTCAGCATGTCTTATACTGTAATTTCTGGATTGCATTACATACTACAAACAAATGATACTGGTGAATAATTTCTATGTCATAATTTCTATGGTCATTGTTCAGAATCACATTGTATGAAAGTCTTTATGACCCATATTCACCATCTTTTTGCAGTAACTTACAGTGTATATGGGCCATTAGCAATTTTTATTTCCGCCCCCCCCCCCCAAAATGGTTGACTGTTTTGTTGCGAAACTAAATACATTTAAACTATTGTAAACACCATTTCTTCCACTTACCATAAAGAAAGGACTACCAACAAAGGCTCCAACACAACCAGCAAATGCTCCAGCTAAAACACTTCGCAGTGCACTAATATTTCCATGAGAATCTTTGGTAAAGTCTAAATTAACTAGAATTTGGTATGTACCTAATCGGAAACCGTTCATAAAAAACTGATACCAAAGTGCCGGAACTAGTCCATTTTGTAAAGCTAGCAAGCCATCGGTCTTCGCGACAGTATAAAAGGCATGCATGGCATTTCTATAATGTACAGCATACTGTCCCCGTGATTTCAATTCCCCTTGCAGTTGCATCCGCGTTTTGACAACCTCGAGAGGATTTGTGAAAAGTCCAGCACCACATGTTGCAATGCCACCTAATACGAACTCCATGATATCAAATTTCTGTACCATTTCTTGTCTTCACTTCTTGTCATAAAATTCTTTCACTACTGATCTCTGTTAAGCCCTCCATTATCTTTTTCAACTGTAGCTGACTACAGTTAGCTGAAAAAAATAAATATGGTATATTAATCTTATCTTCGAGCAACTTCGATAAAAGACGGAGAGGTGATGGCTCAGTGATTAAGGTGCTAGCTCGCTAATCAGGATATCTTGGGTTCGATCCCTGTGTTCCTCCAGAATTTTTGGTATGGGTTCCCCTTATCAGTGGTTCAGGTCTGGCAAGGAACAGTGTCTACGAGGTCCATGCAGTAAGGTTGTCGTGATACTACAGGGATGGCAATATATCGTGGTAATTAGGTCAGACGATAAAATTATCGGCTGAAATCTCAAATATCGCTTTATCGTGATAATTCTAAAAAATATTGTGATATTTAAATTTTAGACCATAATTCACGTTAAATATGTATACTTGAAACATGAAGAAGAAATCAAATTGTAACAATAAAGATATGAGATCTATTCCATTTTAAAAAACAGATGGCAGTTTTTAATGCAAAAGACCAACTGACTGACACTAGTCTCATGTTTCACTTAATAATATTAATCATTATCATACATGTGTAGGCTACACTTTAGAAAGCATCCATAATATTTATTGTTGTGTGCAGGTATATATAATTTGTAAAGGAACCAAAGCATAGGGTCTACTCCTTCAAATTTAGCCTGATGGGTGCCCAAAGGAAGGAGGTTAAACATGATTTATTTTCATTTCTGATGCTTAAACTAGCCTAGTGCCTACACTACATGTATATTTCTGTAACAGAAAGTGTAATAATAATATTAATTATGCTTGCAATGACCATTTTACCCCAATTTGCATGGACAATTTTGACATAAAACTCTGAGGTTAAAATATATGATCTTTTTAATTCACAAAAGCATTAAATAATCTGTCATTGACATGGGTAATAATAATACAAATTGTGCACATATTATGGAATTACATGTATTATTATGACTGAACTTTGTACAGCAAAACAGGAGTTGTCTCCCGTGTGCTCTTTCTGCACTAGGGCCTACAGCTGTCCCTTTGTCCGATTTTTGTTTCCACAAGCCAAATGCTTCGACATGCATTAACAAACAACCATTAGAATAAACCGAACTATTCTAGGAAATTGTCTGTTTTTTCTACCCTAGAATTACCTTTTGACAAACAAAATATATAATTTTCTTGAAGACATAACACAGTCTTCTATTTTATCAACTTCTTGAACAAAAGAGTTGAAAAAAGGGGAAATAATTCAGTAAAGTTTGGATACAGACAACCATATAGCGTCAATCGATCTCTTCCAGATTGTACATTAAAATAAGATGTTGGTTCCCGGCCTTTATGTCGATAAGTTGTAGTCCTTGTACTATGACCATCAAGCAACATTTTGATTGCAGCCTTGTTTAAGTAAGACTATATAAATTTCGAACCATTATGGTATTTTAGATTATCGTTTTGAATATACTATACTATTTGTGTATGCTTGCAGGTTTGTTGAACTTCTTATCAGTACTAGGTCTACCCAGTGTCATGGATGTTGATCAAACCCAAGAGAAAATGTAAATTTAAACCTTTTCATATATTCCATTATATCAAACGTTCAACAAAAAATGCCCTGTTGTATAGATTATAACATTACACGGATTGGCTTAAAACAGATTCGTTGCCGTCGCTGCTGGTACAAATCTCCTTACATTTGGAATGTTCAAACAGAACGTGGGAATTTTTAATATTGTATTGACTGGATATACGCCTTTTCAACGTTCTCCCCAACACACATTTCTATCAACTGATAGGTCTGGGAAATATGACGCTAAAATAGCTGCAGGGACAGAAATGAAATAAAATGAAGTGAAATGAAATAGGATTTAACTGCCTTGCTTTGCCTTCTAACATGCAGATCAATCACATTCAAAGGTAATAAAAAACGATTACTCACTATAAAATGACCTGAAGATCGATACATGGGTCATTTTCTATCCGTATCGTACATACATGCATACATGAATTTTTTTTATTTTTAAATCGACCATTGCGAAGGACATGCGACTCTTTCTGTGTGATTTTTGGATAGGTACTTTGATCTTTTCTTTGGTTCATAAAAATTTTAATAATATACATATGCTTAATAAACTCCCATTGATGTAAATCCACATATCTATAATGAATACCGCTGTTTATTCAGTCGATAAAGGTTTATTATATTTCCATTATGAGTATATTAATTCAGTCGTCAATTATATACTTACTTATTGTTGTATAACGTATTAATATTGAATGTAAATCTGCACCCTTTAGAATATAGACAAGTTAATTCGATATGCCTTTTCTTTTCAACCTTTTCTTTTCTTTGTCTTTTATATACCTGCGAAACGTTTGTGATATTTTATAGACTATCTCTGAAGTTTTATATTGTTTGCGTCATTTGGACCCAGATACAAGGCTCTGATTTGGACTGCAGATAAACCACAGTAAATGTTTCTAGTCATATTGTACTTAACTGCCATAAATCTGTAATCCGAGGCTTCGTTGAATTATGAAGCTACGTAACCAGTAATTTAATAATTTAAAAATGGGGTTAAATATATTTAAACATATTCCTTTTGCCGAGAGAGGAAATAAATTATATTCATGTAAGTCTTACTTAGGTGTGGATTTATAAATACACAGAAGTGGGCTCCCTTCAAATTTTAATATTTTTATGCTGACATTAGTGACAAATTATACATATTAATGTTACTATTGAGACGAAAACTGACATTGAGATGGTTGACATTAAACACCATACGAATTCTCACAACGAAAAGTAATGCTCACACATATATCACATTGGGAATAACCACTATATTCCCCTAACTAGTGACTCAAAGCACTGGCCTACTCGGCCTATAATGCGATATTTAGTCAAATTTTTCGTGACATTTCTTGAAAACCTCTAAAACTAGTCAATTGACAGCTAGTCAAATCACGAAAAAATTAGGGCTAATGCCTCTGTAATACTCATCAAAGATATTCTATAGACCAAGGACCTGACAAATAACTTTCTGTCTTTGCTGCAGTTTACAAACTCATAAATTACATATAGTAAAGTTCCTTGAATGACATTTAGAAGTAGAGGTATAATATTCATAATAACACAACTTTATGGATTTACTACTTCTTGGTTTATTACATGCAACGTTTCAATACTCTTACAGGTATCTTTATCAAGCAATGATCAATAATGAATAACAACTCTACATTTATAGTACATCCATGAGTAAGAACCATTTAACAATAAAAACATAACATTAATTAAGACTATAACAACAAACATTTCCCCTTTGAGTATGGCTTTACCATTTACATAGGCGAAACATGCCGACCATTATCAGTGAGACTCAAAGAACACAAAGCAGCAACTAGACGTATGGAACCAAACAAATCTGCAGTAGCCGAACATATTATAAACAATCCTACCCATAACATAGAATGGGACAACACCAATGTGCTTACCAAAAATATTAAAGTATGGAAGAAAAGAGTTTTGTGGGAAGCATTAGAAATCCGAAGACAAAAACCAAAAATGAATAAAGACAATGGAAGAGCCATTTCTAATGTATGGAATGAATTATTTTGTTAAGCAAGTTATTATCTATTATTGGAACTATTTATAAGTATTATACAATAGGATACCATAAGTATCAATTATCAGTGAAGTAAAATTAATATAATTGTTATCAGTGGAGTGGATCTATAAGTTATTATTCGTATCAGTGGAGTGGAAATTAAAAATTTTATTTATCAGTGGAACTATTATTTATAAGGGCTACTATAACTTATTTATTTGTTCTATTGGAACAATAATTAAAAAATTTTCTATATAATAATATGGTAAATGTATGAGCAAGAGGGGGTGGGTTCAACCTAACTACTTATGCATAATGTATTGAAATTAGTCATATTAAATATTTGAAGGTGTGGTTAATGGGTTTTGATTGCATTTTAGCTTAGGCGGTGGCTTCAATCCCCACTTTTAACACCTTAGATTGAAGAAAAATGGTAAAGCCATACTCAAAGGGGAAATGTTTGTTGTTATAGTCTTAATTAATGTTATGTTTTTATTGTTAAATGGTTCTTACTCATGGATGTACTATAAATGTAGAGTTGTTATTCATTATTGATCATTGCTTGATAATGATACCTGTAAGAGTATTGAAACGTTGCATGTAATAAACCAAGAAGTAGTAAATCCATAAAGTTGTGTTATTATGAATATAGTAAAGTTCTCGATATGTTGTAAATTAAATAAATGCATTTGGCAGTATTCACAATTAAGTTAGGTGCTTTCCTTATAGTCTTGCATTAATAACTGTTTTGGTTTCCGTCCTGTTCATATCCCAGAGGGTCTCGTTTATTTTCGTTATGTCCTTGAGTAAAAAGGTATGACATAGACATAATCCTGACTTCAAAATACTTTTCGATTACGAGCCAAAAGGACGATATAACGAACTAATATTACAATATCAGTCATATGAGAATAGTTAATTATTTGAACTCAGCTCAAATGTAACACATTTCAGAGAGAGAGAGAGAGCGGTTTAACGTCCACTCGACACAAACTAAGTCATTTCGGGACTAACATATGGTTCAATTTTATTTCAATAATACGCTAGGGGTCTTTAGCAGTGGGAGGGAACCGGAGGACGCGGATAAAACCCACAAGGTTGGACAGGCTACCCTACTCCTTGTCACGTACAACCGGGGAATCGACACCACGCCAGTTCAATTTTATTTCAATAATTCGCTTGCACGTAGGGGTCTTTAGCGGTGGAAGGAAACCAGAGGAGCCGGAGAAAACCCACGAGGTTCGATAAATTTCAGAAATGAACCATGTAAATATACGAACATCAGTCATAACGTCTATAGCCCTTTTGCCCATTCCGCTGTTTGTTTTTTTTTTATTCTGGGTAGTCGCGGTTCTAAATACATAACCGTCGATTTGAAAATATATTCGAACATAGATGTGAGTTCACACTACAGAAAACACAAACATCGGTGATTTAGAAAATAGACTAAGACTATAAACCCGACACCACGTGATTTAAAAAAAATAGATAAGGGTCTAATTATGGCTATACCCGTTATCCATTTGATTGTATTTCATGGTTACTTTTGGCTTCCATAAAATGCGTATATAATACAGAGGGAATGTATCCTTAGCACGACAGCGGCGACACGAAAGCACAAACAACTTCTCTGATTGGCATTTACATGTATGAGAAAGGATGCACATAACATTTTAAAGAAAACATTTTGTCGAAAACAACAAGTGTAATATGAGTATATAATAATACCACTGTTGTTCAAGGACATCAAATAGCATGATGTAAATACGGGTAAATAGGTACGAGTTTACAAGTACCTAAACCAAAACACACTAAAGTCTGGAATTCATTATGCATGCTCTACAGTATCCATAAAATGAGATTTTTTTCAAGGAATAAAAAGCGACCAATTGAAATTCTGAATCTTGAAATGATTGCTAGCAGAGATATTGTTCTTGTGACCGAAACCGTATTACGCTTCAGATAACTGAAATCCGATGTGTTTGATTGATGCCCCGCCAGGGATGAAGTCTAAAACTATTCATTAGTTATTGTCCTTGTCACATACACCTTGTGCTCCCACTAGACACCAAAGTTTTTAATAACCTTAAGGCCAGAGCACCGATTCGAAGGTTACATGTGGGTTCTTGCAGAAAATCCATGGCCGATAAACCATTCGTGTCAATAAAATCCATTTCCAAAAAAGAATTTGTTTGGGCGTTTAAAGGAGCGTCACTATTGTGAAGTCAATAAGGAATTCACTCTTGCGGGACATTCCATCGTCGACGAAACATCATCGCCAAGAAAACGGTGATGAAGAAGAGAAATCGGTATTGTATGCGCTGTGTGATTTGGCGAACACCTGCCTGGTAGATGTAGAAAAGTAGGACGTTAAACCCCATTTCATTTATTTATTTGGCGAACAGATTTAAAGTAAGGCATTTTCACGAGCGTCTGTTCGACTCCTTTAACACGGCTAAATTATCTGCACGACCACGTCCATAGTTCTAACTTGTACCTTAAATTAAAGAAAATCACCGAATCAAGTATTTCTAGTTAACGATTAAATTCATACTTTACGCCTTTATATCAATAACGTTTTATGTATCCCTTGTTTTCCAGACTTCAAAAGAAAGACATACGGA